GAATTATTTTCAATTTTATATTTTAATTTAGATTAAATAAAAATAGTAAATATGGTTGAATATCCAAAAATATCAGAAATATTAGCAGATACAGGTTCAATAATATCTTGGATACTTTCAATATCATTTATTGTATCAAAATATAATGAAAATATTTGTTTATAAAAAACATAAAAAGAAGTTATTTAAATGTATTATAATGATTTTATTGATTTTAAAATAAAAAAGAATTTGTTAGGAAAAATAAAAAGTGTAAATTATAAAGAAAAAGAATATGATCCTTAAAAATCAGAAGAAATATTATAAAAATTAGATTAAATTGTTATTGAAAAAATGAATTATTTAAATTTATAAAATGAAGTAGCTAAGTAAATATTTTTTATTAAATTTAATTTAGATTATAATAAATTTTATAAGAACATTTAGGATTAGAAAAAATTAAAAAATATTTAGAATCTAAATCTAAATTAGAACTTCTTTTTGATAAATTAGGTGTACCTGAAAAAACAGAAAATAAATAAATTAATTAAATTGTATTATTTTTTTTATTTTTTTAGCATATCTTAAATGAACAGTAATCTGAAGGAGTCTCATAATTTGGAGGAGAGAGTGAAATGCGAAATAATTATAATATAATATCTTTGGATTAAGAAATAGAAGAAAAAATTGGATTGCTATCCTATAAAATATCAGATTTTAGCTAAATTGATAAGAATAATAGCAACTAAGAAATTAGTTAACCACTAAACAATATCTGTTCCTAAGTGCAAGTCATTAATATTGAATAGTCAGTAGATACTAAATAATGAAATTAGAGCAATTATAAAACAAAACCCTTACATTTATTTAAATTTAAACTTATTTTCTTTTACATTTTCCCCATTTTAGTTTATTAATATAATGCAATTTAGTTGATTATCTTGATTTAAGTATTTAGCAAATAATAAATATTATAATTTGGTTCTTTAATTATCATAAGATAATAAGTTCTAACTTTTTATTTTTTGTTCTTTCCTGTATAGCTAAAATATAAAAGAATTAGAGTCTAATCTTGAATTTTAATAAAAATAATCACATCCTTTACTTTTCATTATGAAATTATGAGGTGTTAAATGTGAGTGAAATAGAATATGTTAATAGCACTTTTATAAAATGACTATTAAATCAATAACAGTTAAAAAATAAATAAATTTTAAATTTCACAGTTGATTTCAAAATTAGAAAGAATTGGTATTTTAAACTATTTCCAATAGATATGATCCTTTAAAACTAGAAGAAATTCTTTGAAGATTTGATTTAATTGTTTTTGAAAAAATAAGTTTTCAAATTCTTTTGATAAATGAAAGTTATTGGCAATAAAATGAGTATTTTAAATTTAAATAAATTAGATTTTAATTAATCCTTTAGAGAATTTAGGATCAAAAAAATTAAAAAAATGTTTAATCAAAATTTACAAATTAGAGCTTCTTTTGGGGCAGACCTGTAAAAAAATCAAATTGAAACTTTTTAGGATTTGTAAACAAATAAAAAATTGTTTTTTTTAATTAGACATTAAAATATTTTAGATAGGTTGGCTAATTATAAGAACATATAAATCTAACCATCCATATACTAAATTAAATTACTATCATTTATAAATCTGTGAATTTGAAATTTCTTAATCAAATAAAAAAATTTATCATTAAATCTTATATTTTTTAAAGTTTATTCTTATAAAAACTAGTAATCACAGCTTGTTCTCCTATTTTTCAATTTTTTTTTAACTTTATTTTTGTTGAAGAATTTATTATATAATCAATTTATTCAATTAAATCTAAAAAATCATGTTTTAACAAAATAAAACTTACATCTTAATAATGTAAACATTTCTTATTTTATTTCCAATTTAAATTCAAATCACTAGAAAAGTATTATTCTGTTTATCAATGATAAATAAAATCTATTATATTGAATACAAAGAAAAGCATTTATTATAAGAATAAAACTTAATCACAATTTATTTAAAATGTTATACTTCTTATAATCAATTGATCAATTTGGAGCTTAGTAAAAATTATAAATTCCTCCAATAAATCCTACATAAAGAAGCGCTTTTGGTGGATTAGTAACTTTAACTTTGTATGGAATAAGTTTAGGATATTTTCTTTACTAATTGATTGATTGGCAATAGAACAATAAACTTCCAAAAATCACATCTCTTTAAGAAGAAATTTATGATAATTAGTAGTTGGAAATAAAAGGTGTGTTTGCTGAAATAAGTTATTTTAAAGAACTTATAAATTAAATAGATCCTTTTGATCCTTAGAATTTGATTTTATAACCTATTGTGGCAAGCACGACAAATTTCTATGATAATGTAATAATTTTATTAAATAGATGAAAATTATCAATTCTAAGTTTACAAAAAATAGTTCATATAGTGCATAAGCATTTTATTCAATAGCTATGGAAGATGTTTTAATCTAAAACTCACCCGTGAATTCATAAAATTATTAATATACTAATTATTAATTAACTATTGGATACTGTAATCCAAAGAAACTATAGGATGGATAAAAATGTGCAGATTAAGATTAAATCGATAAATTTTTATTATAAGATAATTACTTTTAATTGGTGATATTTATAGAATAATTTGATCCAAAAAATAAATAAATTACTAAAGTTCCAAGATATTTCGTTTTTGATATGATAGATACTCAAATGTTCTAACATTAGTTTGTTTTAAAAGCAGGAGAGCTGACTATGGATGATGGATTTTTATTTCCAAATTCAAAAAAATATACGTATCTTGCAGATATGAATATCATAACTACTTAATATGATCAGAAGTTTACCAAAAAAGCATATGGTGAGGAATTATTTTCAATTTTATATTTTAATTTAGATTAAATAAAAATAGTAAATATGGTTGAATATCCAAAAATATCAGAAATATTAGCAGATACAGGTTCAATAATATCTTGGATACTTTCAATATCATTTATTGTATCAAAATATAATGAAAATATTTGTTTATAAAAAACATAAAAAGAAGTTATTTAAATGTATTATAATGATTTTATTGATTTTAAAATAAAAAAGAATTTGTTAGGAAAAATAAAAAGTGTAAATTATAAAGAAAAAGAATATGATCCTTAAAAATCAGAAGAAATATTATAAAAATTAGATTAAATTGTTATTGAAAAAATGAATTATTTAAATTTATAAAATGAAGTAGCTAAGTAAATATTTTTTATTAAATTTAATTTAGATTATAATAAATTTTATAAGAACATTTAGGATTAGAAAAAATTAAAAAATATTTAGAATCTAAATCTAAATTAGAACTTCTTTTTGATAAATTAGGTGTACCTGA